CACACACACACACACACACACACACACACACACACACACGGTTGTGTTTTGTTCTGCTGCTGATGAAAACATTCTGGAAATCATTAAATGAGATTTTTTTTTTCATCAGGACCGTACGGAAGACGCCATGAGCCACAGAGGAAATGTTTTTTTTCCTAATTTCTAACTTTTTTCCTATTCTAAAATTAAAGTTGAAATTTAGACATAAATTGCAGAATTCTGAGGTTGAAATCAAAATTTAATCTCAGAATTCAGAGAAAAAAAGTCAAAATCTTATATTTAATCTTAGAATTTGGAGAAAAATGTTAGACTTTTGAATTTAATCTCAGAATTCTGAAAAAAAAGTCTGAATTTTGATTTTAATCTAAGAATTCAGAGAAAAAAAGTCCATCATTTCATTTCAGAGTTCTGACAAAAGTTAGAAATCTGACCCAGATTTCTGAATTCTGAGATTAAACTCAGACTTTAACAATTCTGTGAAAAATGCCAGAAATCTGATTTGAACCTCAGAATTTTGAGAAAAGTCAGAATTCGGACTTAAATCTTCAAATTCTGAAATGAAGTTTAGAATTCAGAGGTTTAAATCAGAGAAAAGTTCATCAGAATTCAGGAAATTAAAATAAYTTTTCCTCTGTGGCTCTAATCCTCTTCCGTAGAAACGCTCTTAAACACCAAGAGATGAAACCAAGAACCCGACGTCAGCCACCAGCGTCCAACGTTGTGGACGTCCAACTCACTTCCTGTCGGCCACCAGGATGTCGTCACATTTCATTTAAGAGCGAAGGTTGTTGAAGTAGAAATAAAAAATAAAAAAATGTAAATGCTCTGAGCGATCCGGAGCTTGAGGTTCGGGACAGTTTTAAGTTTTGTTGCCTCCTTTTCTTTCTGGACCGGACCGGACCGGACTTCCTCTTTAATGGTATTTAGATCCCTCCAGGAGGATTTTGATAGAGCTGTTTTGTGTCTTTCTCAGACAACATAAAGATGCTTTAATATATTTCTGATTCTGATATGGAGTCTATTTTTAAAAATCCTCCTCCGTCGTTATAGATAGCACTTCAGGGATCCACTCTGTTTATTTTAACAGTCTAAAGTCTCTCTTCAATCTCTCTCTTATGTCATTTTATGTACAATATTGGTATTTAGAACATAAATTACTACACAAAAAAGMCTATTAACACAATCATCAGGAATCTGACAGCAAATCAAAATAAAAGAAATAAAAAAATTAAAAAAAATCGAGACAAATCATTGAACAGTTTGAACTTGATGCTTGTTAAAGAACTTTTCCATAAACTTTCTGTGCTCCTTGGACGTGTCGAGTGTGAAAAAAAAGGTTTATTTCTATAAAAAGACATTCCTCGTCTCCCGTCGTCATCGTCGTCGTCGGAGGAGGATGAAGCTCAAAAACATGTTCAGATGACTCCCGACATCTTGTTTGTGTGTAAACAGAGCACCAGTAGTGTCTTAATTCATGTCTCTTCTGTACAAAAGTATAAATATATGATTTCTCTCAGTTTTTTTGTTTCTTTTTTCTGTTTTTGTTCACATATGTAGGATGTAGCGGACACAAAAAATGGTTGTTTCTGTTGCGTTGCAGTTTCTGTGCTGTGGCGAGGGGGAGGGCGAGGTGCCAGTTTTTCTCCTGTTAGATAATGATTTGCTGGCTTTTTGTTGACCGTYTCATGTTTGCTTGGTGTTGGTTGATAGTCTTTGCATAAATAAAAAGAAATTTAAAAATTAAAAATAAAAAAACCTCGATAAACGTTACGTTTCGGCGCAGTCCGCCTCCTTCGAGCCGACAGAAAGGAATCAGAATAAAACAACCATCGTGTCCGTTTGTAGCTACAGCAGGTCCATCTTGGGTCTGTAATGAAGCAGGAGYGGAGATTTCTGGAAAACAAACCAGAAGAAAGCATCAGCTGAAGCTACGTGGTACCAAMAGCCGAAATGTTCGAAAACTTATCAGCTTCTTTCTGACCACGATTTGGAGCAGAAAACTCTCAAAATAGTTTTATTAACAAGGAAAGAAGATTTTAATACCAGCTGGAACCTTAATATCCAAATATGGTTTGAGGTTTCCTCTTTCAAACAATGTCAAGAAATCAACATTAAAATATTAAAAAAATAAGATGCAGTCTAATTAGCAGGCGTGGGTTAGCAAATCAAAAGTTAGCTATGATAACTCATCATCCGCTAACAAAATTAATAGCTTTGATAATGCTAAAACACACACAAAAAATAAACAACAGAAAAAAAAGACAAATCGTGGAAACCAACAGCAAAAAGCTAAAAAGTAAAAATTAGTAGAAGCTAACGCTAAAGAGCTAAAAAGTGAAAATTAGTTTGGTTTGGTTTCATGATAAATATAACAAATGCTAAAGAGCTATACAAGTAAAGGTTTGTGGAACCTAATGCTAAATAAATAAAAAGCAAAATTAGTGGAAGCTAATGCTAAACAGTTAGAAAAGTAATATTTAGTGAAACCTCATGCTAAAGACCAAAACAGGTAAAAATTAGTGGAACCTAAAGCTAAAGAGCTAAACAGCTAAAAATTTGTGGAAGCTAACGTTAAAGAGCTAAAAAGTAAAAATTAGTTTGGTTTGGTTTCATGATAAATATAACAAATGCTAAACAGTTAAATAAGTAATATTTAGTGGAACCTAACGCTAAAAATCTAAACAGATAAAAATTAGTGGAAGCTAACGCTAAAGAGCTATACAAGTAAAGGTTAGTGGAACCTAATAATGCTAAATAACTAAAAAGTAAAAATTAGTGGAAGCTAATGCTAAACAGTTAGAAAAGTAATATTTAGTGAAACCTCATGCTAAAGAGCTAAACAGCTAAAAATTAGTGGAAGCTAACGCTAAAGAGCAAAAAACAGTAACAACTTTTGAAATCTAACGCTTAAGAGCTAAACAAGTAAAAATTGGTAAACTTAATGCAAAACATTTAAACAAGTAAATTTTACTGGAAGCTCAAAGTACAATACATGTCAGATACTTTAAGACTTTTACTCAAGTAATATTCTTACAGAAGACTAACTTTTACCAAAGTAATTTCATGGTAAAATACTTTTAGTCAAGTATTACTTTGAGGTAYTTTAAACCAGAGATTCTTAACCTATGGGCCGCGGCCGAATTGTGGGCCGTGAGCGCCACCTTGAGGGCCTCAAAAGAACAACAGTTTTTAACTTTGGGCCGCAGAGGGCCATGGGACCACATTGATTTTAAATAAGGTGCAATACACTTTCTCACCACTAGTAGCAGTAGTGCACCACTCAGATGTTTAACAACTTTTTAATATGAAGAAGAAACTTAGAAACCTGCCGAGAATGGAAACTTATTTTAAATGAAAAGTAGAAGCAAAAATGAAAGTAACTCAACAAGAAATGCCAAAGTTTTACACTAATATTAGGTGCAGCTTCTTTTTTTTTTTTACCATGTAATATTTTAAAAGTTCAAAACATCAAATACAGTTGCAGATACAGCTATATTTTAATTTGCACTTTGTCAAATTTATTTTTGTAATTTATTTTTAAGCATTTTGCCAAAAAGCTGTTATTGTTATTGTTTGTCACTAATATGAAAAGCAGCTTCTGGTTCTACCATGCGAAAGTTTAAAAAGGCTTTATTTTCATTTGTAC